ACAAATTTAGTGTAAGAGTACAGATTTTGATACAGAGACAGTAAGATAAAATTAGTTCCTAAACAAACCTCTGGAATTAACTAAGAAGACTTAATGATTTTTTCAGGGACCAAGTTCAGCTAATATAGCCAGGATCTCAAGTAGCGATTTCTCTGTTTACTACTGAAAAGACAGGGTCACCTGACCATGTGATGCCAGTTACTTACTTGCAACAAAGCTATGAGCAGAATCTATAATGAATGCCCAACAAGCTTCTGTTTCCCTGGTTTCCTGACCTAGTACCCAGTCCAAACCTCTTTTCCTGTTTAATGTACAGAGCCCCAGGTTGGTCCACAAAATACAGCTCTGGAAACCAGCTACAGTACTGTTTGCCATGAGCCCCTTCTGCCTCCAGTTTCTGTGCACACAAGGAAAAAGTTGACTTCACACATGTCATTTAGTTTCTTTCCAGAGTTAAAGGTACACAAATTACAGCTATTTCATCAGTACATATTTAAACTCTCAGTACATGAGACAAAGATGTTTCAAATAACACAGAGTATCTTTCATGAAACTCTGTCTGAGGTTAGCTTTAATTCTAAGCTCCAGTACGATTTTGTAGTTTGGGGTATGTTTTGTACGATTTTGGGTCCTTTTTATGAACAAAAGCGAGATGAAATGCAAACATTCCTGAAAGTAATTCTGCTGATATTACTTTTTCTTTTCTTAAACAGGCTGGGTCCAGCATCTTCATGGAAAATGTTTTTTCCCTATTGAAGTTTAATGTTAAAATGAGGAGAATGAAACTTGCTTAGGATTCAATGAGTTTAGTGGATCAGCTACAGAGAGTATGCGGCGGTTCCCAGTTCACATAATCAACCCCCCTCCAAATCATATTGGCAAATACTGTATTCAGTGAGCACTTTATCATGTTACCCAAAGACTTCTAACATATTTTTAGATACTGCTTCCCAAAAGCTGTTTGATGTTAATTTTTTTTTCATTAGTGTATGCCATCTAAAATTTGAAGATAGGGTAAGATCCAATACGACAAAAAAACAAACAAACCCACCTATAAATGGAAATTCCAGGTCTCAGGAGAATAAGAGCCTAAGAAGTTCTGCAAAAACTGTAACTTGCAGACAATAACAAACTAGTCAGTGCAGGAACTAACTCCATATCTGAAGTTCTATACAGAAACAATACATCATATGAGGTCATCACTGGGGCTGCAATTCTTTGCAGTTACTATACTCTAATTAATGGGTTTAGAACGTTATACCTCTCCTCACCAATTTGCATCAAACCACCTTTTAGTGTTTGCCACTGCTGCACAGAATTCTGTGGAAAATATACCATCAAAGATTCAAGATTATCACCATCCTTTCACAAGATCCTGACCAGACCCATTAGTTTCCTCATTACTGGGTATTGACTCAGCATATTTCAGAACACACCCAACATTCTTCTTATGCCTTGCAGTGCATATGGGAAAACATGAGCACAACCAACATACAGAAAGACATTACCATGTTGCTTTCTAACCAGGTGTTCATTAGCTGGGATAGGTATTACAGAACAATTACAGAGACATACGTGGTTGAGTCCATCAGTGAGAAGCAGCAAAGAACATTAGAAAACAACGCTGAAAAATCAGTTCAACTAGATCTGCTGCAATTTCAAAGCTTCATTTTAATCTCCCCCTAAAAAGCACTGCACTTAAAACTCTACAGAAAGTAAGAGTACTGCATGCTTAGGCCACGAAAAACTTGTGTTTTTAATGTACAAATTCTATGGTCACATAAACTAGAACAGACCACCAACCCAGGCAACAAATATGTGATTTTAAAGCAAAAAAAGAAAAATGCATTCAGTAATTCCCATCACTGGTCCACTGACAGCAGGGACATGCTACAGACAAAAGAAGAGCCTTTGTCTCTTGAAGGGACACAAAACCACGCAATCCTAATACATATGTTTAATAATAATAATAATAATTGTGTGTCTTCAAGTCAATTCTGACCTGTGGTGACCTTTTTCAGGGTTTTCCAGGTAAAGAATACTCAGATATGGTTAATTATTCTCTTTTTTTGGGTGTGCTCTGGGACTGTGCCCATGGCTACACAGGCTGGCTCTTCCCCCCAGGAAACACAGCGAGTAATCAAACTCTCAACCAGATACTTAAAACTACTGAATTATCCAGCCAGCTCAAGTGCACATATTGCTTTTATACATAACCATAGTTCTGCAGCAATAAGTGGCATAGAAATATAGCTTTATGACAAATCTCAACCACAAAGATTATAAAGAACAATGTGAGAGAATAACATGGAGAAGCATACTATTCCGGCCCACTCTGAAATAAAATCACAAAGTAGACTTGGACAGATGATCAAGAAGGTGGCAACAGTCCTACCTACAGTCATCTCCCTCATCATTATAAGATCATTTTGGTAAACCATATATGTTCAAATTTACAGCATTTTCCTTGCTACCCATATGAAGTACAATACCTTGCATTTGATTCCCAGCCAGAAAACTCCCAAGATCAGGTGAAACCTGCTTATCTGCAACAGAAGAACTGTGCTATTTCCCATGAAAATCACACTATAAATATCTTAAATAAATATTATTTGCATATTTAATGCATCTTCCTATCATACAGCTTATGGCATTCATATGAGCTCTATTGACAAAATGAAAAGTATTGAGGTGCATTAAATTATATTTCTGACTAGCAACTTCTGACTAGCTGTGTGAGTGTCAGTCTATACAGAAATGCTTTCCTCTTATATGGATTTCTTCTCAATTTCTGAGACAAAGAATATAAATTAGGCCAGAACTGTAGATAGTCCATAAATTTGTTTTACTATCCCACTAGTGAAACTTTAAGTTACCTCTACACAGTCAAAAAAAATTAAGAGGAAAATCACCATTTCTTATAACAGAAAGAAACGTTTCTGTTTCACTACCTATTGGAAAGTAACGTTTTACTTAAAAAGTTAACCAAATAGGTCTTTTTGTGCTTTTTCTGGGGTGCTTCCATTTTATATTATGTCCACGCATCTCCTTTGTTACATAGATTATTGGAGAACAGATGCTTTATAAATAGTAGTAATGAACAGTTAGGAGGTATTCTGTAGATTACTGAAAAGCAATATATCACAAATGGAAAATTTCCTGCCTTGAAGATCAGATATGGTCTGTAAGGTTTATCATGTTCCACACAAATTTGCTCTGAAGTTATCTTTGATTAGTGGTGTATTTACATACCCCATACAAAACTCAGCTGTGCATTGCATGAGAACTGTTGTACAAAGCTGTTCTTCGCAGCAAGGAAAGCTGTTGTGCAGAAACATAGTCACTGAACTTTCTGTGACACTTATGAATAAGCATGCTTGGGCGAATGCACAGCAAAGTGGTATGACCACAAGGCTCAGAAGACACTGTGGACCATAATTTTTAAACCATCAGGCATCCCTTAGACCAGTGGTCCCCAAACTTGGGCCTCCAGATGTTCTTGGACTACAGCTCCCAGAAGCCTTCACCACCACCTCTGCTGGCCAGGATTTCTGGGAGTTGAAGTCCAAGAACATCTGGAGGCCCAAGGTTGATGACCACTGCCTTAGACAATCTGCAATAGCTTCTAACAGAAGACTTCAGAATGTGATAAAACACATCTGTGGAATGGCACTTTTGCCTTCAGCCTGTCCCCACGTTCACCTGTTGTGCCTTCCTATGGAGGGTAAGTGGGGAATCCGTGGCCACCTCAGGTGCTGTGACATTTAAGCCCTGACATCTCTAGCTTGTATCTCCAACCGTCAAGAATGAGGCAAGTTGTAGTCTTGCATCATCTGATGGCTACATTCCCCAACCCTAGCCCAGAAGGAAGAGCCTTAGAACCTGGGATATGATGTCATCAATTATCATAATCTAGAAGATAACACCGTGCACAGCTTCTATCCGTTTGTTACACCTTTCCCTAGATCTCAATTCTAATGGGCTACAAACATTCACCTTGACTGTGGTGCATGACACCAACAATAAAAAAGCAGAAAAAATATATGTCTGCACATAATCCTTATATATACTGTATGTAAATATCCCACTCAGTTCTAAATGAACTGAGTGGGATAAAGTTATATTAATATATTGTACTATACTGTTAATAAATGCTTTATAAACCAATATCACATATAGAGAAAGAAAAAACCCCTCAAAACTTATTTTCTAAAACAAAAATCTAGAGCAGGAGAATACTTTTCTCTGGACAAAAAAGTGACCAAGCCATCAAGTTCTGACACAGAACCAACCAACTCCTGCCCTGTTTTGTCCCATTTTGATCAGAGGCACTGAAACCAATAGGGTTTAAACCAAGGGATGACAGGCTTAATCCCCCCCACCCAATTCCTAAAAGTCTGCTTTAAGTGTGATGATGACCCCTGTATCCATACCTACGGGCTTCTTTCTTGTAGAGACCAAAGAAACAGGTGACACATATCTGTTCTCTGACTTTGTGTGGTGGGCAGATAGATGTGTAAAGCCTTATACACACACATACACTTATATATATACAGACACACACACCTCTTTTCTTTTGGGGTGTGTATATGTATGCATGTATCCATATCTATACACATACAGAGGTATGTGTGTGTGTGTGTATAAGGCTTTACACATCTATCTGCCCACCACACAAAGTCAGAGAACAGATATATGTCACCTGTTTCTTTGGTCTCTACAAGGAAGAAGCTCGTAGGTGTGGATACAGGGGTCATCATCATCATCATCACACACACACAGACACACACTCTTAAGCCTATACATGCATGCCTATATTTCGTTTCTGATGTCTACCTTCCCACCCACACCCCGACCATCCCCCGCAAAAGAAAGGACGGGGCAGGCTGGGAGTGGGCGAGGGGCGTCGTCCCAGCAGGGCCCCCTCGATCCCCACTGCCAGGGGCCTGCCTTCTCTCCCTCCCTCCGTCCCTCCCTCCTTCCGAGGGTCCCCCGCTCACCGGGGTGGGTCATGGTCTGGATGTCGGTGCCCGTCCCGCCGGCGTAGTTGTAGATGACGGCGCCGGCGGCCCCGCGCCGGGCGGCCACGTTGATCTTCTCACTGAAGGTGCAGCCGCCGCGCTGGATGAGGGCGAGCCACGGGGCCGGGGTCGGGGCCCAAGGGAGGGCGGCGGTGACGGCCGGTAATGATGGTGGCGGCGGCGGCGGGGCGGCGCTGAAGTTGGTGAAGGGGCTGCAGGCGTTGAGGCCGTGCCGCCCGTCCGGGGCCACCACCACGCCCTCCAGGCGCCTCAGCGGCGAGTCCTGCCCGAAGATGCCGTTCTCGCCGGCGCTCCAGAAGGTCTCGTTGCTGCCGGGCAGCCGCCACGACACGTTGAGCCACGCCGTCCACACCGCCTGGGCCGAGGCCACCGGGAGACCCGCGGGGCCAGGGAGGAGCGAAGGAAAGGGAAAGGGAGACGGGCCCGGGCCCCACAGCAACCCGCCCAGCGCCCACACCAGGGCCGCTGGGGAGGCCGCCCGCATCTCGGAAGGCGCGAAAAGGAACGACGAGGCGCCCGGCGAAACTCGCCTGAAGAGACCGCGCGCGACGTGATTTACCTCAGGCGCCTGAGGGGAGGGGAGGGGGGAAGAGACGGGCTCGCACTGCGCGTGCGCCCGCAGGCGCCGAAGGGTCGCTTTACCTGAGCGGCTACCCGGCCCCGCCCCCTCCTGGCGGGGCTGGAAACGAGGGGAGGGGAGAGAACGGGGCGGGGCTAGCCGCCGGGGCCACGCCCCCTCCGCAGGCCCGGAATGGAATGCCACGTGCAGGGAGGGAGGGAAGGAGCCGCTTCTTCTGTTGGGGCTGCTGGCATTAGGAATGGGAGGGCCGG